AAACCTGGCATGTGCTGAGGTGGCTTGAAGCATAACACAGGTTTTTAGGTTTGCAAATCTGTGAACCTCTGCCTCTTTGAGATTTTCTTGTTTATTTCTTTATTTTTGCTGGTCATAATATGGGAGGGTATCCTCTCTGCCCTCTGCTCGTGAGATTATGTGTGTGTCTTGTAGCACTCTTCTGAACACCAGTTGGAAGGATTTTTTTTCCCCAGCAAGTGTGGACTGATTCTTTTCTCTTAGAAGGCATGTAATTTTTTCAGGCACACACTGATTAACACAGAAAACAATTGGGACTGTTAATTTTCTATGGAATTTGAAGAAAGTTTAAGGCCAGCTATATTTTCTAGTACAGTGATGAAATGGGTGTTTGTATATACCAACATCAACTTGCTTAACTACTCACTTTTCCCCAAAATACGTAGTATTTCGGTCTGTTTATATGGAATATGGGAGTTGGGTCAGTTTCAGCATATGTATGACTTATTAAAAGACAAATTTTAAGTAGAACTGTATCCTAAACTGCCTTATGGTATTGTACCCAAACATTGCATATCAATGGGAGATTCAACCTCCTTTAGAGGAACAGAACAGACTCCTGAAACTCTTACTACAAAAGTGGTCCATAGTCATGTAAATAGTCCCATTGTCTTCAATAGGATTGATCAAATGATTAAGGGTTTACAGGATTAGGTTCCAAGTTTGTAATTTTTTCTGGATGAAACTGACAATGCCTGAGTTGTTAGATCAGAAGCTTCATTTGAATAAAGGTGGGCAGATGTGTGATAAGTTTTAACTCCGTTGCTAAGATGAGGAACATATTTTCAGCAAAGTTCTTGGCAGATTCCTGAGGCAGCTGGTTTAAGGCCATCAGTGTCCGGCATTATTATCTTCACTTATAGTTCTCTCATCCACAAAGCTGGAAAATGAGGCATTTGGTTCCTTTGTTTTGCTGCTCCAGTTCCAGTTAACAAAATGCATGTTAGACTAGTTTGGCTGCAAAGAAGAAATCTGTGTACACTGGGGACAACACCTGATTCCCATCAGGCTGCAGAACTGGGCTGACATCAGAATCCAAACATCCTCTGGTCAGTGCAAGCGGAGGCATTCCTCTTATGATTTGGACTTGATGTGATGCAGTATGAATGTCATGGATAATTCAGACCAATGGGGAGAAACAGAATCAAAAACACGGTTTAAACACCTTCTGACCTACACACACACACACATACACTCCTCCCCTCTTGAGGACTCCTGACCATCTTAACAACACAATACATATGCTAACAAACTTAAACAAAGCTTTGTGCTGTTAAAGCCATATAAAGAATGAATGCCCTCCTTAGCTGCGTTCTGCTCCTTTATGGGAGGCTAGCCCCAGGTCTTTCTGGTACCCCATACCCACTAAAAATCTCTTGCTGGTACTGCATACTGGAGGGTACTGCCCTACTTGCACTCCTGCCCCCACCCCAAAACCCCCACTGTTCCATACTTTTCCCCACCCACACCTACCAACCCTTCAGGTTCACTCCCAGGCTCCTTCCCAGCAGTGACTTCCCTGTCCCTCAGCTCCTGTATTACACAAGACTCCTTGCCCAAGCCTTTGCACTGCTTCTGAGGGGTGTGGGAAATACATTTCTGTATTGTAGTTAAAAAATGAATTATGACTCAAAGTTCTGTATTAATATGCCTAGTAAGGAATCTATTTGTCAAAAAAACATTTTCTGAATCTTTTTGGTTGTCTGTATTGTTACAGACATACTTTGACAGGTATTTACCAAAATAATTGAAACTGGTGTTATATTGTGTTGTTTTGACAAATAAAATATGCAGAATTTTAAAATATTGTGGGCAGAATTTTTAACTTTTTGGCACAGAATTCCTCCAGGAGTACTATTTAAGTATTTATCTACAATGGAACACTCACTGGGCCAGAAACTCACAGGGCATCAGAAAATCAGGAGGTATTCTCTGTGCCTTGCACAATAAGTAAGATAGATTCTTCAGTGGGAACTCAGATGACATAGGATAGGCAACCTTACCGACAAAGGGAGATGCCTCCCTTTCATAGAACTGGCATCCAAATTCAATATAGCAGTAGGCTAAATTAAGATAAATACCCATTTAAAGGAAGACATCTGAAATAGATTTATTCTAGCTGAGAGTAAAGAAAATATTTCTGATACAGTAAATATTGTGGAACTAACCTTAAACAAGAGTCATGCAACTTCCTAGATATAGAGAGTTTTGGAGATGTGAGTATTGAAAATAAAAAACGTTAGAAATCTTCAGATTGAAAGATCTTCAGGACAGAGATCATAGAGAACTATAAATCTGTACAACACCTAATACAAAGGGGATCCAATGTTGATCCATCTGGTTGAAGATGTCATGTTTGCCTACTCAGTTTTAGAGCCACAACTATTTTAGATACAGTCCGTACATAGGGTAGTATAAAGAGTTGAGATGGAGTCTTCCTCACTGGATCGTCTCACCTCTATGGTGGTAGTTCAAATCCATCCCCTCCTGGCATTGAGTTAAATGTTTTATAGGTCTCTGTTCAGTTCCTAGTGGACAAAGCACACCAATATAACTGGCAGTCTGAGCATGTATTAATTGGATATGCAAACTGATTTATTCTTAATAAACTCAGAGACAATATGCAACTCTTATAAAATGCTTTACATGTTCTAAAGATTATCCTGTTAATTCTCACACCATCACCACTACCAAGTAGATTTCTAAATATAATCCCTATTTTAAAGATGGGGAGACTGAGGCAAAGAGGCCAAGAGCCTCAAAGCTATTTAGGCACTCAGCTTCCATTGAGATCAATGGGAGCTGGGCACCAAAATACCTTTGAAGATCTGGGCTAGAGAAACTAACACCAACATTTTCTAATCTGGATGCCTAAAGTTAAATATCTGCCTACATGTGGATGAAGGTAATTTACAGAGGTGCTGAACACCTCATCTCCCACTGATTTAAATTCAGGTACCGATATGTAAATTTAGGGGCTTAGCTTTATGCAATTGCATTTGAAAATCTGGTCACTGCAAGTTGCTGACAAACGGTGGATAAAAGTCAATTATTTTTAAAGTAACAAATTTTTAAATTTAAATATTTAAAATGTTTTTTTAATTTAAATACATCTCTTTTAAAAAATAAACCTAATTAAAGTAATTTAAATTAATTAAAAATACTAAGCAATATTTGCTGCCAAACAGACCATGAAGAATATATTTATTTATTTTTGTTATTAAGTGCCCCCAGCAACTTTGAAACACCAGTTACTGGAGCCAGTGCTTTGGAAATATAGTGTGCGGGGGGGGGGGGGTGTTCTATTTGCAACATACATCCACACACACACCTTGACAATGGTAATGATGTTATATTTTAAAAGTTGACTTTTTAAAAATTGCTATTTACAGTAATGCAGTCAATAGCAACCTTCCTGGTACAGATGGCACCACAAAATGATATTGCTCCTATAGCTTGGTGCTTGCTTGGACAATGGTTGGTATGTAGCTCCTTCTGCAGCTTCTCCATTGAAATTCATTCTGTTAGTTGGCATGCGTGCCTGTTCATTTAATAAACTGTTAGCCTCCAGGCCCATGTCATGGGTATAGCCAAATGTTGCAATTCCATGCCCTTCCCTTCCTTTCTGATAGTTTTGCCAAAATAATTACCTTATTCTGTCCTAGATTATTAACAAAGTAACGCTCTCAAAACAAGTATCAGGAGGTAGCCGTGATAGTCTGTATCCACAAAAACAACAAGGAGTCCGGTGGCACCTTAAAGACTAACAGATTTATTGAAATAAGCATAAGCTTTCGTAGGTAAAGTACCTCACTTCTTCAGATGCTCTCAAAACAAGACAGGCAGAGCAATTCAATCACATCCATGTCTCCCTTGGCCGATAGTTACACTCCCCATCCATAGAGGTAAGTGGACATCCCCACTTTTATGCCCACTGTAGAGACATCCCTAACATTGCCATTTCTTTTCCATTCCTAGTCACTCCTTGGTACATCATGCCTCAGTTCCCAAAGTCATCCACATGCACTGACATCTCCTTATCACTTCTAGCGCTGATTTTTACCCCCTCTCCCCTATTCACTCCTCAGCCTTTTTCCCCCTCTCCCAAGAGTGGACCAATTGTACGCGCAAATCTCATCTGCTTGTACCTGATATTACCACAGGCACTATATGAAGGTGTAAAATGAACACATGTATAAACTAGGCCTGGTCTACACTAGAAAAATATATAAGCATTGTTCAGCACGTGTGCACCTAGCTCCATCCCTGCTTCCACTAGTGACACCTGCCTTTTTACCACTCCGCTGTCTCACCCTGGCTGCACTGGTCTAGAATAACAGAATTCCCCCCATTTAAATCCAGCCATAGGTTCTGTCCACATGTCAGCATGTTCCAGGGACCGGCTGACCAGAACCCTGTCCTCTCGACCTGCTCAGGGGGGTTAAAAACACCAGCAGCGGGGCTACACTAGAGCTCTTGCTACCAGCGGGGGGTTGAGGGGGGAACTACCCGTGCGTTACTGCTGGCGGTGGGAGATCGCCTCGCCAGCTCGCCTACACACGTAGCCGGAAATGCAGTGCCCAGGGGGGCGGAGCGGGAGAAGCACTGTCTGGCAGCAGTCCCCTGCTCCCCCTGTCCGGCCCCACGACTGTGGCATGGGCAGGACGTGGTCAGAGAGGGAGCCCCGCACACGCGGCACAGAGGCGGCAGCGCCCGGCTGCGCAGAGCGCTTGAGGAGCTAGGAGGTGGGGGAGGGCTGCAGGCTCCATGCAGCGACCGCCCCTCAGGCGGCAGCTCTGCAGCCTCCTGTCCGCTGCCAGGGAGGCCCGCAGCAGGGCGGGGGTTCAGCCAGCACCGCCTCCCCATTGGCTGGGGCTGCCCCCGACTCTTCCCCCTATTGGAGGAAACGCGGAGCGCACGGGCCCAGCACGCTCCGCTCGCCGTGCCTGCGGCCGCCTCGCGCTCCTCCCAAGCCGATGCGCCAGGGGGGAGGAGGCGGCCGCAGCGGAGCCAATGGGCGCGCGGGGTGGGGGCGGGGCCCAGGGGGGCTGAGCCAGGCCAGGAGCCGCCGAGTTGGTAAACAAGCCCCGCGCCTCGTGGTGCGGCTGGGCGGGTGGGAGCGGAGGAGTCGGACGTGGCGTTGTGCGGGGGGCAAGTAAGCGAACGTCGCCCTTTCCCTCGGGGGCTCCTCGCGGGGGGGGAGGGGAGGTGCCCCCATCCCTTCTCCCCGGTCAGCTTCGGCGTGGGGTTTCCGCCTCTTCTGCCCCGCGGCGGGCGGGGAGCAGGCTGCGCGGGCCCTTCCCTGGGGTGGGGGGCGCCCGGGCCGGGCCCGCTCAGCGCGGGGCTGCTTCTCCCTCCTCCGGGCGGCCCGCTCGCCGCTTTCCCGCCGCGGGCCTCCTTCTCCCATCGGCTTTTTCATTCCGTGCTGCGGCTTCGCAGCGGCGGGTACGTGGCTGCGGGGCGGCTCGTTGTGTCGGTCTCTGTGCCAAGTGCACCTCCGGGCGGTGCCAGGCAGGCGGGAGCCTCTGCGGGGAAATCCGGCGTGCGGAGCCGTGGCCGTGAGGGTAACGCGTTAGGCACCGGGCGGGTAAAAGCAGCAAAGCGCCCTCAAGACCGAAACGGGGGCACCATCATGAGGCTGCAAACAGCAGAACCCAGAAAAGGGGGGAGGGACCCAAAGCCAGTAATGTACATCTATAGTCGTGGGTCTTAAAATTATACCGCATGTAAATGGGAACGCGTCCTAGCTCCGCAAACAGTCACGGTGGGAAACCTTGAATTCCTCCAGATTCACAGAATACCCTCCTGCAGACATAATGAGATTTTTTTTCTTCCCTTTGCAATGGCTCTGCTCCCTTTTCAGTTCTCCTTTCCCCGTGCCCCCTGTACAATTCAGTTGGGGTGTGTGTGTGTGTGGTGGGGGTGGGGGGGGTGGGGGTCGGTCGT